GAGCGAGAGGTCACCGCCGGGAGGGAGGGCCAGCTGGCGACCGCCGCCGTGCAGCTTTCCGGCCGAGCCCCTCGAAGGAAACCTTCGAAGGAGTCCCCGGGGCTCGCCAGAGTCCTCTCATGCTTGGTCTCCCCACCCGCTTTCCTTTCCACAACTCCGCGCGGGGCTGCTGGAGCCCTCCCTACAGACCCCCGCCAATCCCAGAGGACCTCTGTTCCCCCAGGTCCCAGCCTGGCCCTCCCCCCCGGGGTGTGAGGGGCTGCCAGGAGAGGAGGGGAGACGGGCGGGTGCAGGCTAAGCCCTGGAGAGAGGCTGGGGGTGGGGGGCACTGGGCACACTGCTCTGCCGGGTCCTCCTTCTCTGACCCTGATCCAGGGACACCTCTGTGCTTTCACTGCCCCCAACTGACCTCCGCTACCGCTCGGGAGCACACGTTGCCCCTCACACCGGACAGGACGGGAGTACATATTCCCCTAACAGACCAGACGCACTCCAGCCAGCTCAGACACCCTCACTACCCTGGAGCCACACACTCCACCAGGGGAGGAAGCAGAGATGGCAGTTGTCACCCAGCAGCCCCAGAAGTGACACTGCTGATGGGTGCAATGGCTCCCTGTCCCCTTCATTCACAGTCCCACACTCTTGTCCGTCACACTTCTGCGTGCCACCCCTGCACACCAGCCACTGGCTGACACTTCACATTCCTCCCCACGTCCCACCTCATGCGCACACCTGGCTCCTGCACTCTCCCCCAGCCCCTCCCGCACCCCTCTTGATAACAACACCCTTTCTAACTCACCCACCACTGCCCTGGACTCCTCCTTCACTGCTCCCCCTGCCTCTGGCTCTCAGTGGGCTGCTGGGCTACCCCCTGGCTCCTCACTGGCCTCCCTGAGCACACCCAGGGCCCTCTTGCGGCACAATCAGGAACCCTCTCGCTCCAGCCAAAGCCCAACTCCTGTCTCGCTTGCTTGGTTACTGACTTCATAAGGCAGGGGGGCTGGCCCACCCTCAGCTTCTTCCCCTGGGCCTCAGTGACTTCTGTCTTTTAGGCTGGAAGAGAAGGGCAGGAAGGGGGATGCTGGAGAGGAGAGGAGAGATGAAGCCCTGCATGTTTCCTCTGGGAGGAATTGAGCATGCATAGTGTGACCTCTCTGTGCAAGCCCACAGTCACCAAAGGGGTTGGTGGCAAAACTAGGTCTCCCAATTCCCAGGCCCATGTGTCCCCACTCACCAAGCCACTTCTCAGTGGCCTGGGGGAAAGGGAACCAAGGAAAAGGCAGAAGGGAGGGAAGTAAGAGAGGGGAAGGCAGCAGACCACAGGGTAGAAGGATGATGGGTTTCTGTGGGCCTTTGCCTGTGAAGGCAGGTCAGGACACTCCCCTAGGGCAGTTTCCTACAGTCACAATGCCTGGACCTCACCTACTCCATCCCTCACCCACTCCTCACCTATTCCGCCTAACCCACTCCATCCCTCAATTCCTCTCAACAGACCCCTCCAACCGCAGCAGCCAGCGCTGGTCCTGGTCTGGCCTTTCCTCCTGGCTCCCATATTCAGTCCAGCCTGAGGCCACTATGCCCCACCTCTGGAGCTCTGCAGTGCCTCCCTGGCTACAACATTTAGGCCACAGTTCTTAGCCTAGCTCTTATAGTCCCAGGTGCAAAGACTCCCGTTGACTTGTCCTACCACCCTAACCACCCTGGTACATCTGCACGGCTGAACCCTCACCCTCACTGGGAAAGCTCAGCCCGGGGGCGTCCAGGCCAGGGACTGAGGGGCAGCTGGCTAAAGTGGCTAAAGACGTGCACACGGGTGCGCCTGCCTGTGCAGCTGTCTGGGTGGCCGGTCACTTCCTTGGGCTGAGAGTGTGTATGTGTGTGTGTGTGTGTGTGTGTTCATGAGGAGGGCCTTGGTTCCCAGGGCCCAGGGATCTGGATGGAATTAGGGGCTGGCCGGGTGGGGGCCAGGATAGGGGGTGGGGGGCTGCTGCAGGAAACGTGAGCTGCACTCATTAGCTCCTCACGTGCTCAGCCAGATTTATAAACACACAGAGAAGACGGGATGTAAACAATCAGTGGGCAGCAGCCAGAGGCAGAGCTGAGGCGGGGGCCGGGCTGGGGGCCAGGACTGGTGGGGAGGGGGAGAGGGGGACCCAGGACACAGCCCCAGTGGTCAGGGTCCACCTGCACACCATGAGCCTAAGGGAGGATGGATGAGGGCTCCAGGAAGCCCACCATGCACTCTCCTCAGGAGGCAGGCGAGCTGTGCTGGGTTCCTGAGCTCACAACTACACCACAAGTGTTCACCCCACACTGCTTTCCTCCTGCTGCCTGAGACACGGGCATGGGCACGGCTTGCCCAGAGTGAAAGCTGTCATAGCAGGGGCAGAGCCCTGTCCTTCTACCCCCCTTTCTCCTCTCCTAACCTCTTCTCCCTCTGGATTCCTGAGAGCCCTTCCCTCTTTCTAGTTCTCTCTGTGGGCCGTCGCATCCTTCTGTTCTCCCCTGCCCGCCCCCCCCACCCCCAGCCTGCAACGACAGTTACCTCAGAACTGAAATATTCCTGGAAACACCGGCCTCGTCTGGTTAATTTCATGAGCCGTTTTTTCTGCCCAGATGACTTAGTTCTTGTCTATCCAAAGGCTTCTCCCCCTGCTGTCCCTGTGTAGGGAGCTGATCTCCCCTAGGGATGTCCCACAGGGCTCAGAATGGGAGAGGGATAAGTCCCGAGCTGGGTTCCTGACTATACCTCTTGGCCGTGACATAGGCAGAACCTAGAACTCCAGTCAACATGTGGGTAAAGAGGGACGCCTAGCTCCCAGCTCCTGCTTCAGCTGGGACCCTCAGCCTTGCCGCTAACTTTGAATGAAGCCAGACTCGATGCTGAAAGCAACCTCAAGGCTGGGAGGGCCGCTGCCCAATTCAGCAGGTCTCCAATCTCCAAAACTAATTCTACTCTGTACCCATAGGATCCTAGAGGTGACTGCCAGATCCCCAGGCTTGGAGTTGTGTTGGAATGTGAGGAACAGGGAGGAGAAAGGAACTGAGTCAGGCAAGAGCTGGGGATAGAAAGGAAGAGTGAGGAAAGCAGCATCCAGGAGGAAGCCACAGGCTCAGAGGGCACACGAAAGGGGGAGCCAGTCTCCCTAGGGAGCAGTTGAGTGCCTGACCCTACTCTCTGTCCTAAAATACATGTGTGTACACACACTCACACTTGCCTCAAACCAAGACCCTGTGACTGGTGGTACCCCACCCCCATGCTCCCTCAGTAAAGCTGGCCAGCCACACATCTGAAAGAGTCCATACTGACCAGGGGGCCACTGCCAAAGTCCTCACTGACCCCTGTCCTCCATAAGAGATGTTTTATACAAATGGAGTCTTGCATCCTTCCTAGTTAGTAGCCCTCTCCAAAACTACCCCAGTGCTGTGATTAAACCTAACCTAGTCTTCATTCTTTCTTCAAATCCCATTCTAACCATGGGCAAAGTGTTATATCTATTTAAGTTATTTCTACCTATCAAAGCAACCTATGTCATTATAGAAAAATCTGAGAGTATAAAATACAAATATTAGAGCGGTGGGTATTATGGTGGCAGCAAAAAAAAAAAAAAAAAAAAAAAGAAAAGGATAAAAAAAATAAAGGAAAGAAACCACTCGTGACCTCACACCTATTCAAGCTGAAAACCCAAACTAGCCCTGCTCTTCATGACATAAGCAGCGCCCCATCTGGTATCTAAACCGACCGAGTCACAGCCCTCCAGCTCACCTTCTGCCTGCCCAGACCTCACCACATCCCCTGCTGGACTCAAACCTCAACCACACTAAATCAACCAAATCCCAAGTCTAAACTAATCTGAAACTTTTAAAGTAACCCAGTCCTTAAATCTAACCTAGCCCAATGCCAATTATATCTATCCTAGCCAAACCCTAACTGCCTTTGCCAGTCCAAAGTGTCCACTCAATCCTCACCTTGATCCTCACTTAAAATCCCAGAAAAGCGTATTTCCCCACTATCCATGTCACTCTTTACAGCACCCAACCCTGGCCTCTGGACTCCTGGTATCCTGGGATGTCCAAACTCTGCAGTGCCATCAGCCAACAAGCCCGACTCGTCAAATGCACCTCTCTCCCTTCCTGTCCCCACCCTCGCAGGCTGATGGAAAGGGCTCATTGAAGTCCAACTTTTCCCCACCTAACACCAAGAATGGTGTGAACCTCCACACTGCCACCATTCCCTGAGAGTGAGCACTAAATCTTCAATCTAACCCCACCCTATGCTTCCCACACTCAGGAATCACATCCTAGAATATACCCAAAACTAGCCCCATAAGGCAGCCCGACCCTGGTGGTCTAACCCTATACCTTGCCTCTTATGGACGACTGTGTTCTTGGCGGCTGCCTCTCTCCTGCTTCCTCCCTTGGGGCTGACTGCTCAGCCTGCCAGCTCTGACATGTGCTATCTCCCACCCTGTGACTCCCCTCAAGCTGCAGTGCGACTGGGAGACTGGCAGGAAGCTATGGTACAACTGGAGCACAGGCAGGTCGACCTGTAGTCCCTAGGCCTGGCCCTGTCCCTCCATGTACACACACATATATGTTGGCACACACACAGTGGCACACATGCCAAAGACTCTCTCAGCTGACACACAGATACACTCTCAAGTATCTACTAATAGACACTTAGGCGTGCCAAGTCCTCATCCTCAAACACACACACGCCTCTCTTTCTCTCCCCTCTCGCCAGGGGTGTTTTCCCTCCTCCATCCCCTCTGCCTCCCATCTGGTGTCCCACCCTCACCCACCTTCCAGCCCAAGGTGGGGACAGACACCTGAGGGGCTGCCAGATGCTTCCCCGTGTGGGCCTGGGCCGCACTCATGCTTCTCGTCCATCCTGCCCACAGGGGACTCGTGGGGGATGTTAGCGTGCCTGTGCACGGTGCTCTGGCACCTCCCTGCAGTGCCAGCTCTCAATCGCACAGGGGACCCAGGGCCTGGCCCCTCCATCCAGAAAACCTATGACCTCACCCGCTACCTGGAGCACCAACTCCGCAGCTTGGCTGGGACCTATGTGAGTATCCAGAGTAGGAGTCTGGGAGTTGGGGAGGAGTGAGGAGTTGGGGGAAGACAGTCCTAACCGTGGAGGGTCCTGGTAAATGATGGGGTGAGGAGGGGCTCTTTGGCTCCCACCAGTCCCCCTGTCTGGCTTATCTACTGCCCTTCCCTCTTAGGTGGCCCCCCCACCTCCCCATCCCTCGCCCCAGGACTAGGCATGTGGGCAGGCCTCGCACCCGCCTTGGCCCATTGCCCCACTGGCTGCCAGCCCAGCCGCCCGCCTCCCCCTGGGGGCCGGGGAAGTCTCCTCTGTTTACACCGTGTTGTGGTGTCTCTTGCGCGGGCGGGGTTGGGTGGGGATGGAGGGGCCCCACCTCCCATGCCTGCGTTCCAGCTCGCCTCTACCCCCAGACCTGGGGCCCTGCTGCTCTGGACCCAGGGGCCTCCCTTCCGTCTGCCTCTCCCATTCTAGCTGGGCCTCCTACGGGGGTCATGGGGGAAGGGGACTGTAGGGAACCCAGGCAGTAGTGGCAGGGGGTTTAAGGTGTGGATGGAGGTGATGCTATAAGGATTTGGGGGTGGTCCAGAGGTGTTCAGAGAGCCCAGGAGAGAAGGAAGGAGGGTCGGAGGAGCCGAGGACCATGGGGAACCGGCCCCCTCTTCCCGTGTTCCTCTTCCACATCCCAGACTCTACTCTGGAGCCAGGGAAAGAAAAGGGAGGAGGGTGGCGGGGGAGCTGGCTCCAGCCCCAGGATACACCGAGGAAATTAGTTTGTCTCTGTGCTTGTCAGCGTGTGAACCTCCCCCTGGGCCCTTGCCTATCCCAGGCCTCTCCCCTTGCTTCTCCCTTCTTTCCCAGTTACACATCGCCCTCATCCCTTTCCCTGGGCCCCAGCCACTCCCCCGAGGGTTGGCAAGGGCTCTGCCTTCTTCCCTATACCATGCTGTCTTCCATAGCCTTCCTCCTGTCCTACTCATGAGACTGCCTCCATTTCTTCCTTCTGCAGCCTAGCTCCTTTCAACTGAACCCTTCCTTCGGAGTGTTAGTGAGTACCCGTCTCTCCCCAGCCCCTCAGCTGGTGGGCCCGGGTGTGTCAGTGGCAAATGGGACTCTGGTGCCAATGGGCCCCTCTCATCTCTCTCTTGTTCCTTGTGCAGAAAACCTTTGCTTCATTCCACTGCCCCCTCTAGTTCCCGACCCTTTTTGTCTCCTGGCTTTCTCTGCCAAATTTCTCGAAGGAGTGGTCTACACCCTCTGCCTCCACTTCCTCTCCACCCACTCACTTCTTAACCCCCTGCAATCTGGCTTCCAGGCCCCAGCAGTGGTTCTCTCCAAGGTCGTCAGGCACCTCCTTGCCAAGCCCGACAATGTTTTGAAGGCTCATTCTCCTTGCTGTCTGTTTTGCAGCCACACTGCTGAGCACTGCTGCCTTCTCGAACTCTTCCTTGGCCTCTGCACTCTCCTGGGCCACCTTCTACCTCTCCAGCCTCGCCCCCTGGCTCCTCCAGGCTCCTCTTCTTCTCTGTCCTGCCCCCACAGCGGGCACTTTCCCAAGGTTTGCCCACCAAGCCAATCAGCACGTCCTTCCTGAGCGTCTCCTGCGTCTCCTCCTCCTCCTCTTTCTACGCCTCTCCATTGGAGAGCTCATCACCGCCACTGCTTCAGCTGTCATCTGCATACAAATGATATCCTTATTGGAGAAACTCAGGGAGGCCATGAACAGAGAAGCCTAGCATGGAGACAGGGCCAGTGTCAGGGGACACAAAAAATAGAAACTTTGGGAGCAGGTATCTCCTCGGTGATGAGACAGCTGCTCTGCCCTCCTCCTTCCCCATCACCCTCTCCTTTTCACAGCTGAACTACCTGGGCCCTCCTTTCAACGAGCCTGACTTCAACCCTCCCCGCCTGGGGGCAGAGACTCTGCCCAGGGCCACTGTTAACTTGGAGGTGTGGCAAAGCCTCAATGACAAACTGCGGCTGACCCAAAACTACGAGGCTTACAGCCACCTTCTGTGTTACTTGCGTGGCCTCAACCGTCAGGCTGCCACTGCTGAGCTGCGCCGCAGCCTGGCCCACTTCTGCACCAGCCTCCAGGGCCTGCTGGGCAGCATTGCAGGCGTCATGGCAGCTCTGGGCTACCCACTGCCCCAGCCGCTGCCTGGGACTGAACCCACTTGGACTCCTGGCCCTGCCCACAGTGACTTCCTCCAAAAGATGGATGACTTCTGGCTGCTGAAGGAGCTGCAGACCTGGCTGTGGCGCTCGGCCAAGGACTTCAACCGGCTCAAGAAGAAGATGCAGCCTCCAGCAGCTGCAGTCACCCTGCACCTGGGGGCTCACGGCTTCTGACTTCTGACCTTTGCCGCCTCCTCTTCGCTCCCCCTTCAAACCCTGCACCCACTTTGGGAGAGCCAGCCCTGTATGCCAACACCTGTTGAGCCAGGAGACAGAAGCTGTGAGCTTCTGGCCCTCTCCTGGACCGGCTGGGCGTGTGATGTGATCAGCCTTGTCTCCTCCCCACCTCCCAAAGGTCTACTGAGCTGGGGAGGAGGTGCAATAGGCCCTGTCCTGTCCTGTTTCTACAGGAAGTCATGCTCGAGGGAGTCTGAAGTGGTTCAAGTTGGTGCAGAGGCTCTCATGGCCTCCTGCTTCTTGCTTACCACTTGGCCAATGCCCACCCAGCCCCTCAGGTGGCACACCTGGAAGGCAGGAGTTGAGGGGCCACCACCACACATGACTTTCTGGGGTGAAGCCCTTTGGCTGCCCCACTCTCCTTGAATGGGTGTTGCTCCCTTACCCCCAAATCACTCTATACATCCAATTCAGGAAACAAACATGGTGGCAATTCTACACAAAAAGAGATAAGATTAACAGTGCAGGGGTGGGGTCTGCATTGGAGGTTCCCTATAAACCAGAAGAGAAAATACTGAAAACAGAGGGGCAGGGACAGACCACAACAGACCCAGGAGTCTCCAAAGCACAGAGTGGCAAACAAAAGCCAAGCTGAGCATTAGGACCTTGCCTCGAATTGTCTTCCAGCTTTACAGTGCCTCCTCTCTGCCCCCTTTCCCAGGGTATCTGTGGGTTGCCCAGGCTGGGGAGGGCAACCATAGCCACACCACAGGATTTCCTGAAAGTTTACATTGCAGTAGCATTTTGGGGTGTGGGGTGGCAGCTCCCCCAGGCCCTGCCCCCCCAGCCCCACCCACTCATGACTCTAAGTGTGTTGTATTAATATTTATTTATTTGGAGATGTTATTTATTAGATGATATTTATTGCAGAATTTCTATTCTTGTATTAACAAATAAAATGCTTGCCCCAGAACTTAGTCTCTTTGCCCGGCCTCACCCCTCCTGGTGCTCATCAGACTCTCTTGCCGCCCCGGCTCCCACTCCCTGCTTGCCTCTGGTGAAGCTGCACAGAGCTCTGGGAAGAGGTGCTCTTCCTCCCCGCACTGGGGTGATGGGCGCACCTCAGACTTGTCCACTCCTGCTCCCACCACCAACTCCTTGATCCCTCAGTCCTCCCACACAGCTTCTGTCTACTCCAGGTTTCCCTCACCCAGCCTTTGCTCAGTCTTCCTCACCTTTCTGGGATTCATTGGTTTTTTGTCCCAGAAAAGCGTATTTCCCCACTATCCATGTCACTCTTTACAGCACCCAACCCTGGGATGTAAACAATCAGTGGGCAGCAGCCAGAGGCAGAGCTGAGGCGGGGGCCGGGCTGGGGGCCAGGACTGGTGGGGAGGGGGAGAGGGGGACC